GAAAAATGCTGTTTGGAAAGTTATCGAACAATCACGGGTATTTTTTGTACAAATGATCATAAATTTCTGCATTATTTTGTCCTGCGTAAATTCTTCGTTTAACACGAATGCACCATCTCTTTTTCGTTAAACTTGAATCTCCTAGTTTATAAGCTAGGAAATATAATATATATATATATATATATATATATATATATATATATATATATATATAATATAATATAATAATATATTATAATATATTATATATATATATTATATATAATATAATATAATATCGTTTTATAATATAATATAATAAATTCCATTTAGCTCGAGAAGCTCGTTACAGCATTTATTTAATTTATGGTTAATTTTGATATAAGTCGCGAACATTTTCGATATCCTCACCACCCTGTATGCACGTGTTCGAAAGGAGAACGCGGAACGACCGAAGGATTTGTCGCAACGATTTCCTTGCAGTCCAGCTTATACACATTGGATCGCGTGCTCGGTATTAGCACCCCTTATGTGTGTCTTGCGTTATTTGTTACTCCACCAACATGGAGGTCAAGGTCGCGACTGACGATCCTCGACTCGTCTTAAGAGAGTATACAAAGATCCTTTTCGCAGATTAACATGAAAAATATTTAACCCTTATTAAAAGCCGCTATACGACGTTCTCTCGGCATCGATTATTCCAGCCAACCGGACAGCAATGAGCCGACGAAGTTATTTCACGGCTCAAAATTCGCTTAACAAGGGAAGAACGTAAAAGGCGCTTGTAACATTAAAGTCTGAAATGTGTAACATTGATTCGTTTGTGCCGTAAGTATGTAAAATAACTGTAAATCAAGGTTAAATAATTTAAGGCGAAGCTATATTCGAGATTTCGCAGATATATTGGTTTATTTAGTCAGAATATTTAGTTCGAATATTGGTAAGAAAAAAAAATGGAGAGTATAGTAATTTCTCCCTAATTCGCGCTCACATCGTGCACAAAAATGGAACAAAAATCCTTGAGTCTCATTTTCATAGTCATCGATTGTCAGCAACTGTTGACACAAGGCTCGAATAATCGTGTCTCTTCTTCCCAAATTGTCCACTTTTTGTGCGCTATCTGAGCGCGAATTAGGGAGAATTTACTGTTTTCTTTTTTCACATAGAATTTTATTTCTTCGCCGATAGATTGAAAAACTTCGGTTTGAAATGCTGCGAATGAAATATAGAAATATAATGAAATATATAATGATATATATAATATTATAATATATATATATATATATATATATATATATATATATATATATTATTATATTATATTATTATATATTATTATATTATATTATATATATATATCAAGTATTGCGGTACACGTATTTTGGAAGCGAAGAAACGCAAATTACGAATTGTATCTTCCATGACAATTTGGGAATAATTTCCTTTTCGCGAGTTTATAGAAATTCCGAATTATACCAAGCACGATTTATGGGGCTACAGAGCAAGGGAGGAAGGGATTAGAAATGAATGTGACACGATTAAAATCTATCGAATAAATGTTTGACACCTATGCTCGACGCCGTTCAATATTTATGTAGTGTTGTACATTTTACTTTTATGTCTCATGGAACAGCCCCGGCATGAAGTAATACTTATTTAAATGAATTTCATATGCGGAACACGCAAGTGCCAGGTAGTCCTACGAATGTATTACCATGTTTTTAAGGTGGATGAGTTATGTATAGTCAAAAGTTCAAGAATAAGCGTCGGTCTCGTAATCTTGTTACGCGTTTATTCTCCGCACTTGGATTACAGATATTTTTCGAACGATTTTTCTTTTTTTCTTTTAGGTTTCGGCAACGCGAAAACTCGCCGCTGCTTAATTGCTTGTCTCTGATTAAACAAACGTTTAATCGACAGCGACAAGAAAGTGCGGAACCATGGATTTAAAAGAAAATCTTTCGAAAAGAATTTTAGCTTACTCATTGTTTTATCGATACCATAAAATGAATTGCGATATCTATTCTTTGCCAAATGAATTTATTGATTGAAAAAAGTTGACTGCGTTACCGACTTGGAATATTACCTGACTACAGTCACCCGAAGAAATTTGAGGACGCTGAAAGCTTGGGTTCGTTAAAAATCTGTCGAGAACTTGACAAATTTTCTATCTTTATTCATCTTAATTAATAATTAATTTTCTATATTTTTATTAATACATTCTATTTGATATCGCAAACTATCTCCCCTCCGAAGATGGAACGCTATTGGTAGTTGCTGTATATATATGGAGACACAGTTTGTTGAAACTGTGAAAGCTCGACAAATTGAAAAACGTCTGAAATGAAGTTTCTTTAATTTTCAAACTAAAAGCAATTATCTAAAATGTAGTGTAGGATTTTTGTTGTATTTGAAATATCTCTTTTTAGTTATTAAGATCGATTTTTTAATTCAAACTGCTACCACATATTCAAATGATTGAACTTTTACAAATTTTACGCTACATTTTAGAAGCATGAAGAGAGTATTGCAGCAAAGACACAACCGTACATGATGGTACCATCTAGTACTAATTGAACAAGGTGGCAAAATGGCAAGTTCACACCCAATGTATTGGCTTGGCAACTAAGTAATTGACCGCTGCATTCAATTTGTCCAGCTGCTAACATTCGCGGATAATAAAAAATAACATAATAATAATAATAATAATAATAATTAAAAATATATAATATAATATAATAATAATAATAATTAATAATATATAATATAATATAATATAATAATAATAATATAATATAACATTTACGGATATCATAAAAATGGGAGTGAAAGCATCTATAACTGAAATCGGTAATTACTTAGTTGCCAACCCAATATTATCAGAGGCAAGCTCGCCCGTGGCACAGATTTAGGATAATATTATTCCATAGAGTGGCGTTCTCGCAAGCAGAGCTTCGTCTCTCTACCGCCGACGGCGCTAGGATAGAAAATCCTCAAATCTTACATCACTACGTAACCTCTAAATTCATTCCCTCGACGTCTTCTATTGTTTGTGTTCGCTGGTTCATTCTAGTTTTCCGCTTAATCGAGGTATGATCAAAATACTCGCACGTGTTGAAAATCTCTGTAAAGTGTTAAATTGTTTCGATTAGAACTACAGTTGTAAATCATAAAGAATATTACATAGCGATGAAAACAAAGAAGAAAGAATTCGATATTCTCGAGAAATAACGCTATTCTTGGTCGAAATGGCAACGGGGAAACAAAAATTATCGTGACATTGAAATATCTTTGTACACGACCCGGCTTTAACATCGACGAATTTATTTACTATTACGTTATATACTTTATTAAAAGAATAGAGGATAGAGTTGACAATGTTCTCACAATATATAGAACATTGGAATGCTCTAGAGTGACTGGTGGGCCAGAATCGGAGGTTCTTGATAATGCCTTCAGTAGACTTAATAAGGGTACAAACATAAAGATAAACAATCGATGTGATAACCTTGATACTTACATTAACCATGGGTGTTTCAAAATCAATCTTAGATTACGTTGTATTTTGCCACCAAGAAGATCTGAGTTGGCCATTTATCGAGGGCAATCAATTGAAAGAAAAATCTGATGAAATTCTTGACGGTGCAAATCTTAATAAAGCACTTGAAGGTATTATAAAACATATGAAAGAATTGGCTGTAGAGACTTGAAATTACTTCAAGAGAAACGAAAGAAGATTTGCAATTTCGTGAAAGTAATTCCTTTAAAATAAGTAATGAAACTTTGTCTTTCAAACGAAAGTTTGTATGTATGATTAGAGAGTATCGCTTAATTGAACAACAAATTGAAAGATTTGAGGAAAATATAGAAAAAGTGTTTGTTGGTACAGTGGAGAAATTATTGGCTGAGATTGAAACGTATGATGAAAAGCTTGGAGGGAAAAGTTGATACAATGGAAGACTTGTAGAATATCAGATTTATTGGCCAGTGAAAATATCACCTGCAGTTCTTTGAAATATCAAGTTGATGATCGGGAAATGAAAATTGCTGGAAGAAAAAATGCGAGAGTTGGAATACATTGGGGAGAACAACAAAGCAAGAAGAGCAGGAGAGGAAAAAAATTGCAAAAACAAAATGTGAAAATATGAAGAAAGTAAAACAGCTGGAATCAGAGATGAATAATAAAAATAAAATTGAAGATAATGCAGGTATATCTTACAAACTATATCAAATTTCTATTTCATAAGAATTCTATATATTAATAAAGTTGATTACATTTATGTTTTAGATAAGCCAAATACAATTTATTAATCAAGAAGAAGTCCTCGTAAGACGAGTAGATCATCTAAAAAAGTAAGTTAATTTTGAAGAACTAATTATTCGACAAGGATTTAAGTACAATCTCTAGCGTACAGCAGTATCGTAGACATTTTGTGGTCTTGCTTTTCTTTAATTTTGATAAAAATAATTTATTAAACATTTAATATTTCCTGCAGTACGTTAACTTTCTTGATTCAAAATGTCTATGATGAAATTTTACACTATTCTGCAACAATATTTCTTTGTGGATATGTAATATATTTCAAACTCTGTTTAGAGAAACATCTCGATAGATAATCAAGAAGAATTAGAAAGAGTAATAAAACAAGGCACTGAAGAATTAATGCGGGATACGTACAAATGAGCACATGATAGATATAGGAAAAAGTGTACAGAAATAACGGTAAATGTAACAATATTCTACTTTGTAATGTGCTAGTATAATATTACTGTATACTTATCTGTACTATATTTATCTCTTAAATCAGGTTTTTCAATAAATTATATTAAATTTGCAGGTTTGCAGTCGAGCAGTGAATAGAGCTGTCCTAGAAAATCACGAGCGTATGGCATCGTTCAACAAAATTCTGAAGAAGCTGTGGAAACTTGTACCCAGTGGCCGGATACTACATCCATAGAAATTCACACAGATGCTGCCTAATCTATAAGTGGTGCAAAAAGATCGCTTTAGTGCTGGACAGACAGTAAGGTTTCCTTTAGCAAAAACATAGTTGTTAAAAACGGTAAATTTGTTCATTTATAGAATGATAATTTCAAGTTCTGATGACAATTACTGTAAATCACAATTTCTGTAAAGATTGCGGAATTCTTGCTTTGGATGAGAACATATCGATAGCTTGCACTCAGGGTATCATCAAGGGTCTCAAATTTTGGTGCATTAGCTCTACCCCTTTATTATGTATCAACTTTATCGTCTATTTCTTCATCGCATGTTTCAATCTCAGCAAGTAATTCCTCCACTGAACCAACAAATTCTTTTTCTACATTCTGTTTTAATCTTTCCACTGATTGTTTAATTAATACTCTCTAATCATACATACAAACTTTCGTTTGAAAGACAAAGTTTCATTACTTATTTTAAAGGAATTACTTTCACGAAATTGCAAATCTTCTTTCGTTTCTCTTGAAGTAATTTCAAGTCTCTACAGCCAATTCTTTCATATGTTTTATAATACCTTCAAGTGCTTTATTAAGATTTGCACCGTCAAGGATTTCATCAAATTTTTCTTTCAATTGATTGCTCTCGATAAATGGCCAACTCAGATTTTCTTGGTGGCAAAATATAACGTAATCTAAGATTGGTTTTGAAACACCCATTGTTAATGTAAGTATCAACGTTATCACATCGACTGGTTAACGATATCACCTTGTTTGTACCCTTATTCAGTCTACTCAATGTATTATCAAGAGTCTTCAATTTTGGCGCACCAGTTATTCTAGAGCATTCCAATGTTCTATGTATTGTGAGAACATTGTCTGCTCCATCCACTATTCTTTTAATAAAGTGTATAACGTACTTAGTAGAGCAAATAATTCTTTTTTTCATTGTCAAAGCCCCAGACCCTATATAAAGGATTTTGCATATTATTGAGTCTACTTAATGTATTATCAAGAGTCTTCAATTTTGGCGCACCAGTTACTCTGGAGCATTCCAATGTTCTATATATTGTGAGAACATTGTCTGCTCTATCCACTATTCTTTTAATAAAGTGTATAACGTACTTGGTAGCAAACAATTCTTTTTTTTCATTGTCAAAGCCCCAGGCCCTATATAAAGAATTTTGCATAATTTGAATGTGATGTATATTATTATATTATATATAAAATATAGCAATTTTCTGTAGTTACTTCAAATAAGCGGGAAAGTAGAAGAATCAGTGAACATGAACGGTGAAGATTCCGAGATTTTGAGGTTAAGTGAGCACGTGGAAACAATTGGAATATTAAAACAATGGCAAGCAGCCAGATTTAACAGGTGAATCTCATGCCACGTGGTCCGATCTTCAATTCAGTATTCTTCGAGAACGTTTTTTTCCGGGGGGGGGGGGGTGGAAACGGTCGCTGACTACACACGACGTAGAGCGTAACTCGCGCAGGAACGCTAACGTAGCAGTAGCCGTTTGTGAAACCACGTGTCTGCCATAGATTTTCTATCTTAGCGCCGTTGACCGTAGAGAGACCGACGATATCACAATTAGTACTGAGAAATCAGCCAGATGAAGCCACTATAGTTTTCTTAAATAAAATCTACTAACGATAAATTGTTCTCCATTATCTTTCGTACTTTGCCATTACGCGAATTTGTAACAAATATTCAGTATTTCTCTGGTTTTAATTTTTAAACAATACAATGTTTTTTGTATGATGCGAGTGTAGAAGGTTCCATTGAGCATCTCTGTATCCTCAAAATATATTCACTCAAGAAATATTCCCATACTAAATTTCGATTTCTCGAACAGTTGCTAATATTTAAATTATTATAAATACGTTTCTCGAAAATGCTACAAATTGGAACACCTTTAAAAACACTAAGAAATTATTATCATAACTACCGTAGATTCTAAGATTGAAACTTTTCTTTTAAGATTCTCCAACACGACCAATAAATTACGCCAACTTTATATTACGCCAACACGACCAATAAAAGTCGTGCGTCAGGTTTTAGCGAATCGTTGTAAAGAGGAAACTTCAAATCTGTGATAGATTCCCTCAGTTTTCTATCTCTTCTATATTGTGTAAAAATATCTTACAAAAAAAAATGAACGATGAAATGTAAAAGTAGAATTGTCAAGCTTCGGAATAAGTTCAGTCTAACACTTATAAAGATTCTACTTACGCAATTGTAACAATTTGAATGAACTAGGATCGGAATGCGTGCTAATACGTTTCCAGGTCTCCGAATAACCTGACTTTGTGACTGGTGACCTTACCTCGAAAGCTAAGAGTAACACACATACCATCATACATTATATAAGTGCTCTATAAACAGACTGGAGAAGATCCCCCAGCTTGATCTTCATTAATGAACCGCATGGAATTCAAAGATAGAAGTCCTGGCTGACGAGGACGTGTTAGACGGAGACATGGAGGTCTCGATCCAGTAGAATCACGAAGTCGATGCCCGATCATGTCGATCGCTGGCATTCAAATGCCAGCTCTTTGCGCCCTGGAGAATATGCTCGGCAGATGACTGCTGTGCAGGTAGAGGAGTGGCATCCTGGATTACTTCTATGCTATGTAGTATGCGTCATGCAGCATCACACATAACCATTGCATGCTCCAAAAGTCGATGAAATATACCATCGAAAAATCGTCGTGCGACCAAACCTTGGAAAAATGAGCTGGATTAATGATGATTCAGCAATTCTGGCGAATCGTCATGCTTTATGACATGATTCCGCATAATGTTCTGCTTTCAAAGTTCAGGGTTGTCACTTGCGATGTTTCGTTACAACAAATTATTATCTTCTATTACATTACATTTTACATTACATTACATGTAACATATTACATTATATTACATTACATTTTACATTTTACATTACATTACATTACATGTAACATATTACATTACATTTTACATTACATTACATGTAACATATTACATTATATTACATTACATGTAACATTTTACATTACATTACATTACATGTAACATATTACATTACATTTTACATTACATTACATTACATTACATGTAACATATTACATATTACATTACATTACATTTCATTACATGAAACATATTACATATTACATTACATTACATATTACATATTACATTACATATTACATTACATTACATATTACATTACATTACATATTACATTACATTACATTACATATTACATATTACATTACATATTACATTACATATTACATTACATATTACATATTAAATACATTACATATTACTTATTACATTACATTATATTTTACATACAATAATTATTATATATTATCTTACTATTAATACTAATACGCGACTACACACTGTGCTGTGATCGTACAGTCTGAACAATCATTTTTATCGTAACTTATAAACCGTAACAATATATGTACATTAAATCGAACACAATTTATTCCAAATTGCATTCAAATGCACGTTCACCTTGTTCGAAGCGACTATTCTTCAAGTTTCGTTGACTGGCACGATGCCTCGGCGGATTCTGCGACACAAACATTGAATCGCGCCGCAGCGTGTGTCGCAAATCACCTTTTATTGCGACGAGCTATTACCGGCTTCAATCCACGGACAGCAGTCATTGTCTAAGCCCGGTGATTTATGCGAGTGCAGCGTGAGAAAAGAAGCGAGGGGGGAAAAAAGATGCCGACGTGATGGAACCCCGTATGATTCACCGATTGACGAGGATAGAATTTATTCTGCACGAAGACGTATGGATACTGAACAATGCGCGAAGGTTGTCCTGTCGATTCCACGGCTAATTAAGAAGTAATAATCAAGGAACAGAGTAGAGAATCGTATATGCAAATCGGCGGTGTTTTAACGTGGCGACAAGCGGCCATGACCGGAATTCTGTTCGCGACGGAACTTTTGCGCGAAGCGATCGTTCGCTATAGCTCTTCTATCCGACGACTATTAATATTTGAGCCGTTTATTTTGAAAGTGGCATAAGTCACTTCACCGTAATGAAAAGTGGTGATTTTTTTCGACTTCGGAGAATTTTGGAAGGTTTCTTTCGGCAGTAAAGGGTTAACGCTAAATTTACGGAGCACGAAAAACAGCTGTTTTATACCAGTTTATAAGAGTAACAATAAGACATTTAATATGATTTTTAACAAGTGTTATTGTGACATTTGCCACATTTGTTATTTGTCATATAAATTGAATGAATAACTCGTAAATGCATCTTTACGATATGAGTAATTGTAAATTAAAAAATTATGTCGTTTTGAAGAATTTCGTAAATCTAGCGTTAATCGAACGATGATCGAAAGTAACACGATAGGGTGAGTCAGGCTACTACGAAATACATAATGAGAAATATTGAGGGATTAAAAAATTGTGACGTTAGAGACAGTTGAATCAGAACCTATAATAATTATTATTATATTATTAATATTATTATCTAGATTATCTAGACAAGCGTACTATTTCGTAGAAGCAATAGATGAATGACTGTATATATTGAATAATTGAGATTGCTACGACGATCTGCAACCAAGTGCAATAAGTCGCTGCATCTTTCCGGGTCGTTGGTCAACTTCGATATACAGGAAATTCGCAACAAAAATGAACAATTTGAGAATTTTACGATTGATTCGAACCTCGCACCTCGTTCTTATAATCGTCGACAATCGGCAACTGTAAAAACAATCCGCGAGACTGGAACATATAATATATATATTATTATATTAATAATGATAATATATGTTATATATATTATTATATTAATAATAATAATATAATATATATTATTATTATATATATTATATATCTTTTTGCAAATTAATAGCGATTGAAAATGATCCGAAAACCAGAAATGATGGTTCATGATAACGATGATTCGTAGCAGCCTTTAGTACCTTTTTTATGATTTCAGCTAATTGCAATTTCCTCGATATTACGTTCTACCACGCGCGTTCGAGTAAAACAATTATTCGTAGTTCTCGGGAAGAAATTAAGTGGTTCGGTCCAATTTCGAAAATGTTGTTCCGTGTTGGAACGATGCTGAAATCACGGCGATGTTCCAAGCGATTTAAACGAGTTTTCATAGAAATGATTGTTATTGCCTTTCGTAGGATGATCACATATTCTTCAATCTCGCAATATTCGTGATTCCGCGGCATAGAAGTGCCGGAAGGTTTTTACCTTCACTTAATAGCATGGATCACGCATGCGGAATCATAGTTCTGCCATCATCACGTGGTTACGAATAAGTAAAAGATCGAGCGTACCGTCTACCGAACGCTGGAAAGACAAACATAGACAAAGCGTTCGTTACAACAATTTCATTCCGCGCGGCCGTAATTACTAAACACAGGTTGTACACGTTAACGAGTAATCAGCTTTGCTTGCGTGCAATTAAATTAATACTCAGCTTAGCATTTTTCATTTAACATCTTCACCGAGAACCGCGCATTGCGCAATAAACTTACATTGTTGGAATTGCGCAATTCCGTGTGTAAAATTCGCGAGGACGGTTCTTCGTCGACTAAATTATAAAAATAGAAGTTGAAGCAAAATGTTAACCCCCCGCAGGGGTTGCGTTATATTTCGAGGAAGATCAAATTCTGGCTGAACTCGTTTCGATATTTTTCTCTCGTGTTAAAATGTTTTAGAAATGATTTCTGCAACTTTAAAATAAATATGCAAAATAAATAATAATATAATATAATAATAATATAATAATATAATATAATATAATATAATAATATAATATAATATAATATAATATAATATAATATAATATAATATAATAATATAATATAATATAATAATAATAAAATATTTACGAGCTAATTCGTAAAAATTGAAATCGGAACAGCGTGTCTTCGCCCCGAAACCGATAGTTGCGCTGCGCTCTCTAGAAGAAAATCTCGGCAACGTTCCTCGAATATCTTTCCGCGGCAAGTTTTCGCGAAAGAATTCCACGAATGCGCGAAATATAGTCTAATCGCAATATCTCCTAAAAACTTCCTGCTCGCGTCGGTATCGTAACGGTCGCGCGTGCTTTTATCCGGAGATCTGACTTAATAAAAAAAGAAAAAACCACATAAATCGCATTCGAAACTCGACGTCGGCCACAATTAACAGGAATTCAAGATCGTTGGGAAACGTTATTTACGCGCGGGTTGGAAACCCTTGTTAGCGAGGCCGCTAACTCGTTCAGAAGTTCAGTTAGCCGTACATTCTTCAGGTACGCACGCGCGAAACTTCTTCTTTTTTCACGTGGTGTCCCCGACGTCGTTGCACGGGTTACAGGCGCGCAGATATTTCGAGATGTCGATGTAATCTCGCGGTGAAATCCCTTCCTGGTCGTGACTGCACGAAAGTCGGTCCTTAGGTCTGTCTCCTCCTCGTTCGACGAGGACG